GAAGCAGACCCCCCGCTGAGCAAGGAGCCCGATTTGGGACTCGATCCGGGGACTCCAGGATCATGACCTGAGCCGAAGGCAGTCGCTTAACCAACTGAGCCACCCAGGCGCCCATGAAGAGAATTCTTTTTAATGGCAATGGCTGAACAGATGAAAGAAGCAGAACTAAATGAAGAAAAGCAAAACTATGTAACATAAGGAATTATACCAAGTATAGGAGATATCTTTCTAATTATTAACTTTATAATCCTGGAAGATACAGAAAGATAAAGCAAATGTCAATCTGTATACTATAAATTTTTCCACAAAATACTTCTGTATTTGTTCAAATTAAAAAAGAGATGAAAGTGATGTTGACATGTCTAAGACTAGATATTGGATATTTTTTGGCTTCAAATGTACCATGAAAAAAAAAAAAGAGCCAGAAGAAAGTCCTAATATATTAAACTTTTCTTCCCTTAAGTAAGATAAAGCAGTGAAGCAAACACAGGAGAGTTATTCTGTTGCAGATCTTCACTCATGAGACTGGCTCTTAGACAGAAATGTAAAAATAAAAGGTCAGCTCATGGTCTCATTTGGAAACATGGGCCCAGTAAAGGGCTAGTCCAGCTCTGATGGAGAAGTGCTGGGTAGGAGAAGATCACCAAGAAAGATCTTAGCCTGAGCCATGTGCTGTCATTGTCATTACATCTATCCCATTTAGATGACAACCTGAGACCATTACAGCTCTGGCTTGGCCTTTCCTGAAAGATGGAGACCCACACAGAGGAGCCATGGTTCAGGAGTTATGAAAAGAGTTACTCCCATAAGCCACATCCATCTAGAGGAAAGGAATACGTGTTCCATAAATGCTCCCTACCCCAAGACCTGACATGGGAAAACAGGGAAATGACTAAGTTGGTGCCACTTCCTTCTTGACTCGCAACACCCAAATAAATAGACTTCTATTCTTTTTTAAATGCCTGATGTTCTATCAAACAATACAGATGGGTAGGAGGAACTAAAATAGCCTGCATATTACTCAAGCTAGACCAGATGCCACTCTGGCAACCTCTGGGAAAACAACAGAAATGGACAGTAATAAGAAGAAAGTGACTTTCTGTGTGGGTGAGAGTATATGTGTGCCGTAGAACATAGATAAAGCTCCTAGGGAAACAACTAAATATCAAAGCAATATCTAATGCACTGCATTAAAATACAGAAAAAACTCAGACAAAAAATGCAGCAATGCTACTGACCTAATTCAGTATTATAAAGAATTTATATAACCTAATAATTTCAAAGGGACTTTATTAACTGCTTTCAAAGAAACTAACATAACCTCAACAAATCACACTATTCTCCCTTTTTATAATTTAGAACTAAGAATTAAAATGCTCTTGATAAAGTAACACACCCACAGGAATATAGTTTGAGATTAAAACACAGAAATGTATTTAGTTTACATTACTAATAAACATGCACATGCATGTGCACGCACACACAGCTTGTTATGGAATATCCTTTAAGATAAAATAATAAAAACAGGAAGCAGGGGTGCCTGGGTGGCTCCGTCTGCCTTCGGCTCAGGTCATGATCCCGGGGTCCTGGGATAGAGCCCCGCATCGGGCTCCCAGCTCAGCCAGGAGTCTACTTCTTCCTCTCCCTCTGCCTTCCCCCAACCCCACTCATGTGCGCTCTCTCGCTCTCTCCCAAATAAATAAATAAAATATTTTACAAAAATAGTAATAAAAAAACAGTAATCTAAATCCCCAGTCAATATGACACAGCAGTATCAATATCTTACCTAGATATACAAATAGCTAAAAAATTATTTTCATCAGAAATATGATTGTATAAATACAATACTAACTTCAGTGAAGACTTTCCCATATACATAAAAACATGTGTATACTAAAAAGAACTTTGTAATGAGAACTTTATAAGAACAAAAGAAAAATTATGGGGCCAAGACTCACATGCCAACTTTATTTCTAAAGAGCAGGCAAACAGAATGATCCCCACAGCTGCCACAGAGGCTTATGAAGGGCAGCATCGTTGGCTTTTCTAACAGTACTGTTTCCTGAATTAACTTCAAAGGCTTGTGTGGGGAAGCAAGTTTACTAATAAATTCTCTCAGAAGCTGAGTGCTGTATTTCATTTCCAGCTACTGGGAAACTTATCCAACAATAAAATAGTTTAAATTAAGCTAAGTCTGCTAAAACTCAAGATGAAGACACTAAATCTGATCAAAAGTAACATGTTCAGAAGCTCATACTTTTGTAAAACAGAAAAAAGGAAAGCGCTTAAACCTATAACCACTTCCCACCAGACCAGTGTCAGTTATCTGGGAATGCCATTTCTCCCTATTTTAACTCTTTCTGTACCTCTCTTTCTCAATTCCCTTTAGCTGTCTCACTAAATCCTTGAACTTTTGCTTTCTGTTCATATAGTGTATCCTTAATAAATAGTAAACCTCTACATTTTACCTCTTTTAAATTGCACTATTTTTTTTTTTTTAAAGATTTTATTTATTTGACAGAGAGAGACACAGCGAGAGAGGGAACACAAGCAGGGGGAGTGGGAGAGGGAGAAGCAGGCTTCCCGCCGAGCAGGGAGCCCAATGCGGGGCTCGATCCCAGGACCCCGGGATCATGACCCGAGCCGAAGGCAGACGCTTAACGACTGAGCCACCCAGGCGCCCCTAAATTGCACTATTTTGAAGTAGAAATAAAACCTACCCCTTAAATTGTCCTTCACTATCTCACAACAAATTGTTTTTAAATAAGATGTGTTGACGGTGGCCAAGTTATATGAAATCATAAACCACTTAGGCAGTGCTGGCTTATCCTTTTCATTAACAAATTTCTTTTAAACATGACCATTTAGGGGCACCTGGGTGGCTCGATTGGTTGGGCAACTGACTCTTGATTTCAGCTCAGGTCATGATCTTGGGGTCCTGGATCAGGCCCCATGTCTGGCTCCACGCTCAGCGAGGAGTCTGCTTGAGGTTTCTCTCTCTTCCTCGCCCTCTGCCCCTCCGCCCACTTGTGTTCTCTCTCTAAAATAAATAAATAAATAAATCTTGAAGAAAAAAAATTGTCATTTATTTACTGACACATCATGAGGCCTAAGAAAAAATGTCTGAAAGAAACTAACAGAGTCACTAACTCCCTTTAAGACTTTGTAAAACTACTTAGAGAATAATCTGGCTATACCTTGCCTTTTCAAACTGCTCTTTTTCTTACTCCCATTCTCTCCTCTAATTTCCACTTACCCTTCAAAACCCAGGTCACATACAGCCTCCTAGAGCAAATTCTCCCTGGTCATTCCTTTCCAGCCAGGATCAAACACTCCCCTTCAATCCTATGTAATCTCATAACAGCCTATGATATCCTTTAGAACAACATAATGTCTTGAATCAGAGGAAGGGGAAAAGAATCCCAGGCAGTCAAGCAAGGTCCACACCCAGGCCCGGTGCAGGGGCTGGATCTCACGACCCTAGGATCACAACCTGAGCCGAAATCAAGAGTCGACTGCTTAACCAACTAAGCCACCCAGGTGCCCTGTGAACAGGAATTTTAAATGAGGTCAAGTATAAATTTAAGCCAATATACTAGATTTTAGTTAATCATTACTCCCCACACTGGACCACATTTTTTTTTTTAAGATTTTATTTATTTATTTGAGAGAAAGTGAGAGAGCAGAAGAGGAGGGAGGGTCAGAGGGAGAAGCAGACTCCCTGCTGAGTAGGGAGCCTGATGTGGGACTCGATCCTGGGACTCCAGGATCATGACCTGAGCTGAAGGCAGTCATTTAACTGACTGAGCTACCCAGGTGTCCCTGGACCATATGTTTCTTGAGAATAGAGGCTCTCTGATTTATGCATCCCTAGTCACTTGCATTAACCAGCACAGACTAGCATCTCAAACACTGGCTACTGGGACTCCTATATCAGTACCCCCACAAACATACACTTACTTATACCTCTAGAAACACAGGGCAACCAGATATTCCCTAAATCCAGGATTATTATCTCTGTGACTCTGCTCATGCTATTCCCTATTATATGGAATCTTGTTTCATCTTCCTATTATTTACTTCATAGATCCTCTGTTGCCTTCAAAGCCCCCCACCTGAAAAAACACTGCTTATTTCATGACCTTTTATCATCCTTCAAGACTCAGCAACCTGTCACAACTTCTGTAATGTCTGCCCAGCTTGCTTCCATCAAAATTACCTCTCTTCCCCACAATTTCAAGTCATTCTTGATGTAAACATCAGTTGAAGTGTTTAATAAAATGCAACTCATATCAGGATCTAATCACAGGCAAAGATGAGTGTCCTCAACTAAAACAAAGGTCCCTTGGACCAATTACTCATCTTCATTCATTACCTGTCTCCCCTCCCCCCTCCAGAAAATTTTATAAGCACTCCATGAATGTATTTAAAATAAATGCCTAGCTAACCATTCCATAGCATAATAGTATAAAATGTAAAGTAATGGTTCTACAACCAAAATGTGAATAAACAGAACAGCATCCTTTTTTTTTTTTTTTAAAGATTTTATTTGACAGAGAGAGAGACAGCGAGAGAGGGAACACAAGCAGGGGGAGTGGGAGAGTGAGAAGCAGGCTTCCTGCAGAGTAGGGAGCCTGATGTGGAGCTCGATCCCAGGACCCTGGGATCATGACCGGAGCTGAAGGCAGATGCTTAACGACTGAGCCACCCAGGTGCCCCAAACAGAACAGCATCTTGACAGTTCTAAATTCATAAATACTTTCCAGTGTCTTTAAAAATCAGCTTATTTCATTAAGAAACAATAACTTAAAAAAAAGAAACAGTAACTTTTAAGGTTCACGTGACTTTATAAAAACACACTATGTAGTAAACTGAACTTCAAGAGTCCTTCCAAAGCATTTGTTTATGTCTCTCTTCTCATGACAATTAAATATTACTTTTTATTTAGTTCTATCCCACCAGACTGGCACTTTCTTGAGAACAAAATCTTAAAAACATACCTGCTAGGGGCATCTGGGTGGCTCAGTCGTTAAGTGTCTGCCTTTGGCTCAAGTCATGGTCCCAGCGTCCTGGGATGGAGCCCCGCTTCGGGCTCCCTGCCCCGCGGGGAGCCTGCTTCTCCCTATCCCCCACTCCCCGTGCTTGTGTTTCCTTTCTCATTGTGTCTCTGTCAAATAAATAAATAAAATCTTTAAAAAAAAAATGCATTCTGCATTTAAATTTTAAAATTAGTACAACACTATTTCAAAGAGACCAGAAAAGAGGAAAGGAACCTATCTATAACCTCATTACTCTAATACAAGGATTATAATTTTTTTCTTTTCAAATTTTTTAAAGATTTTATTTATTTGAGAGAGAGAAAGAGAAGGTGCGCATTGGGGTTGGGGAGGGAGGAGGAAGAGGGAGAAGCAGATTCCCCGCCAAGCACGGAGCCCAATGCGGGGCTGGATCCCAGGACCCTGAGAACATGACTGGAGCTGAAGTCAGGCGCTTTATCGACTGAGCCACCCAGGTGCCCCTCAAATTTTTAATATTTATATTTTATAAGCTTATAATCATATATTACATATAATATAGCTTACTCTTTTTATATACATCTCTTCATATTTCTATATACATTGTCCACTTATTTTTATAGGATACATAACCATCCAATGAAAGGATTAACCATAATTCAACTATTTCTCTTCACAGAATATTGTCTACATTCATATTTTCACTGTTACATGTATTAGTCTTTACTTTTAATTATTTTCCATAAGCTAGAGCCACTTGTGTTAAATTACTGAATTAAAGGTTATGGCCAACACTTCTACTGCTACTGAAGCACAGTGCCGACAAGACGCTTCAATGGGAGCTGTATCTTTCGTCCTCCTGCAACATCGTTTCATCAGCACTGTGCATGATTCCTTCTTGTTTAAAATCACCTTTCCTAGATTCCTAGCAAGTTTAAACATTTCCATATGCCTAGTTACTAAACCTATTTCCTTTGTGAACCCTGTTTTTGTACTATGTATGCCAATTACCTAACACAGTCATCATGGTTTTCTTACTGGTTTGTCATCCACTGCCTGTCTCGTTTACTGTGAATACATTTTCGAGTTGTTGTTTGCCCCCTTGGGAGTATTTTTTCCTCCCTCTCCACCAATACACACTTTTTTAAGCACTGTAGTTTGCAATTTTATCTAGTCAAATTACTTGTTTTTTCTTTGCAATTTCTTCTATCACTTCTATAAGGCATCCCCAAAATCTTTTTACTCCTGGTTTTATTTTTCTTTTATATTTAACCCTCTAACTCATGGGTAAGGAATATGTCATCTCTGCATGCCTCCACAGAACCTTTCTCTTTAAGCATTCAATAAATGTTTCTTAAATATTCCTTATTGAGAGGTAAATTGTAAAAAATACTATCCATTACTGTAATTTTACTAGTCTCTTCATAGGCTATTCAGCCAATCAATATAGATACAAAAGTGAAATAATACTCTATGATGAAGGAGAAGACAATGGTGCAGAATTGGTCTGTTTCTTTCTATTAGGAGAATATAAATCATAATGTTTAAGAAAATCTGGTTTTGTTGGCAAACCCAATTTTAATGTCCATGGTTAAGTCATACAAATTCTTTTTTTACATACATAACCTGCAGAGTAGCAAGCTGGATAATACTGTGTTATTCATTTTCCTAAGTCATAGTCCTCAGATCTGTTACAGAGTTCTATACTGTGGAAAGAAGCATTACTGAATAATTTATTACAATTCACACCATAACACTGCTATATAATAATTCACAGGCACAACACAACCACTTTTATTATAATGATACCTTGGTAGTTTGGGGTTTTTTGTCAGTCATCAACTCTTCAACAGAAAAATATACTATGTCTATACAACTTATAGATTTAACAACCAAAATATTGCCTAGTGAAAAGCAAACAAGCTTTATTCCTCTTTTCCAGCTTGAGTAATTATAATTTTATTTTGTTGCAGAGAAACAGTCAATCAGGCCAAAAGGCCTACTACAATCAAAAACATAATACATGTGCCCCCTTGGATTATAGCACATTTATGCAGAGTACCTGTCAATATAATTTGCATTTGAAAACCTACAAAAACATTGTTAAAATGACAGCTGTGGAAATTAATCTGAGTAGTGAGGTTGGCAGCACAGGCTTTATTTCACTTTAATGGTTACAGCTTTTACCTATAAATGTATGGGTATGGCAAATAATTACTGGTAACCCTATCCTATGTATTTTGGGAAAGTTGTACCTTCTAATATATAAATAGTCCAGAGAGATAATGGAAAACATGTAGAATACTGTTTTCATATATTGACCTTAGCTGACACAGATTTGAACTGTGCAGGTCCACTTATAACATGGATTTTTTTTTTTCCAGTAAATACAGTGCAGTACTGTAAATGTATTTTCTCTTCCTTATGATTTACTTAATAACATTTTTCTCTAGCTTCCTTTATTCCAAGAATACAGTATAGAATACATATAACAAACAAAACATGTATTACTTGACTATGTTACTGGTAAGGCTTCCAGTCAACAAAAGGATATCAGTAGTTTTGGGGAAGTCAAAAATTACATAGATTTTCAACTGCATGGGGGGTTGGCATCCCTAATCTCCCATGTTGTTCAATTTTCCACTATGTGGATTTTATGGTTTATCTATGTTAATGCTAAATTAAGTTAATAATTAATCACTTCACAAATAATTTACTATTACCTATTTAAGAGAATAAATTTAAGAGGGATGCCTGGATGGCTTAGTTGGTTGAGCTCCAGACTCCTGGTTTCAGCTCATGTCTTTATCTTGGGGTCTTGGGATGGAGCCCCGTGTCGGGCTCCCTGATCAGCAGAGTCTGCTGGAGATTCTCTCCCTCTCCCTCTGCTCCCCACCACTCCCCCATCCCCCGCTCACACACTCACGCACTCACGCACTCAAATAAATAAAATCTTTAAACAAAAAAAAATTTAAGAGCGGTAAATTCCCTTAACAAAAAATAAATGTAGTAGGTACATGACTTGCATGAAGTCATCAACCTTTTTTTCTTTTTTTTTTTTTTTTTAAGATTTTATTTATTTACTTCACAGAGAGAAACACAGCACAAGCAGGGGGAGTGGGAGAGAGAGAAGCAGGCTTCCCGCCAAGCAGGTAGCCCCATGCGGGGCTCAATCCCAGGACTCTGGGATCATGACCTGAGCCTAAGACAGACGCTTAACCACTGAGCCACCCAGGCGCCCCCAACTTTTTCTTTTAATGAAATATAGTTAACATACATTATTGTATTAGTTTCAGGCTACAACAGTGATTTGACACCTATATACATTACAAAATGCACAATAAGTATAGTTACCATCTGTCACCATACAAAATTATTACATTATTGACTTTATTCTCTATGCTGTACTTTTCAAACCAGGGACTTGAGTATATAACTACAAATTTGTATCTCTTAATCTCCTTTACCTATTTCACCGATGCCCCCCACAGGTCTCCCCTCTGGCAAACACCAATGTTTTGTTTTTATGATCTGTTTCTTTTTCTTAATTTGTTTTTTAAATTTCACACATATATGTGAAATCATATGGTATTTTTCTCTGACACACTTCACTTAGCATAATACACTCGAGGTCTATCCATGTTGTCAGAAAAGGCAAGATTTCCTCTTTTTTTAAGGCTGAGTAATATTCTATTATATATATATACCACTTTTTCATTATCTATTCATCTATCGATAAACACGTTGTTCCCACATCTTGGTTATTGAAATAATGCTGCAATAAACATAGGGGTTCATGTATCTTGAGGCCTGTATCACTATAAACTTAAAACAGTTTTTGCTGCATCCCAAAGGTTTTTTGAACTGCTGTGTTTCCGTCTTCATTTGCCTCCAGGTATTTTTTTATTTCCTCTTTGATTTCTTTGTTGGCCTACCAGCTCTTTAGTAGCATGTTGTTTAGTCTCCATGTGTTTGTATTTTTTCGTTTTTTTTTCTTGTAACTGATTTCTATTTTCATACCGTTGCCATTAGAAAAGATGCTTGATAGGATTTCAGTCTTCTTAAATTTATCAGTACCTGTTTTGTGGCCTAACATCTGATCTATCCTAGAGAATGTTCCATGTGCACTTGAAAAGAATGTGTATTCTGCTGTATTTGGGTGGAATGTTCTGTACATATCTATTAAATCCACCTGGTCAAATGTGTCATCCAAAGCAATTGTTTCCTTATTGATTTTCTGTCTGGATGTTCTATTCATTCATGTAAGTTGGGTGTTAACGTCACCTACTATTATTGTTTTACTGCCAATTTCTCCTTTTATGTCTGTTAAGAATTTGTTCTATATATTTAAGGTGTTCCTAAGTTGGGTGCATATTTACATTATATGTTCTTATTGGATTGATCCCTTTATCATTATGTAATACCCTTGTCTCTTTTTACAGTATTTGTTTTAAAGGTTTTTTGGCCTTATATAAGTTTCTCTACCCTTTTTTTTTCACTTTCTTTTACATGAAATATCTTTTCCCACCTCTTCAGTCTGTCTGTGTCTCTAGATCTGAAGTGCATCTCCTGCAGACTGCGTCCAGACCAAGATTTTTTTTAATCCATTCAGTCACCCTGTGTCTTTTGAATGAAGCACTTACTCCATTTACATTTAAAGTAAATATTGACAGGTAGGTCTTTATTGCCCTTAGGTTAATTATTTTATGGTTGTTTGTATAAGATCTCTGTTCCTTTCTTCTTCTCTCGCTCTCCTTCCTTGTGATTTGATGAGTTTTCTTAATGTTATGCTTGGATTCCTTTCTCTTTATTTTTTGTGTATCTATTATAGGATTTGGTTACCAGGAGGTTCATATATAACATCCCATGTATATAGCAGTCTATATTAAGTTGGTGGTTGCTTAAGTTCAAACACATTCTAAAAGCACTAGATTTTTACTACCCCCTCCACATCTTTTGTGTATATTGTCATATTTTACATCTTTTATTTTGTGTATCCCCTTAAATTTTTGTTGATTTTACTACTTTTGTCCTTTAACCTTCATACTAACTTTATAAGTGATTGTATAAGTGATACCTTTACTATATGTTTACTATAATTACCAGTGAAATTTATCCTTTCATAATTTCCTTACTCCTAGTTATGGCCTTT